AGGAGCAGGAGGCATACTGGGGGAATGGGCAGAAGAGCCTGAGCCCCCCAAAGTCCCCTCCAAAGCCTGGAGTAAAATCCATGCTGAGTCTCAATTCCTAGGCTAGGAGCCAAGTTCTGTGACGCCCCCAGCAAAGTGCCCTGTACCATACTGCTTTAGTGCTGCACTCATGGAGCGGATAACAACCTCCCACTGCCAGCGGTAACAGGAGGCATACTGGGGGAATGGGCAGAAGAGCCTGAGCCCCCCAAAGTCCCCTCCAAAGCCTGGAGTAAAATCCATGCTGAGTCTCAATTCCTAGGCTAGGAGCCAAGTTCTGTGACGCCCCCAGCAAAGTGCCCTGTACCATACTGCTTTAGTGCTGCACTCATGGAGCGGATAACAACCTCCCACTGCCAGCGGTAACCTCATTGGCCGCAGATCATTCTAGACTCGCCAAGCCTGCGCCTCTAGTGGCTTGATGCCCCTTGATGGGATTTCTGGGGACAGATCAGTTTGACTTTTGTAAAAACCAATGGAGTTACATGCAGACACGCTCTGTTACAAGAGCATAAAGGCTGCTGTGTCATGCAGTCAGAAGACAGGACACACCAGAATTGCCCAAGCAACTTTAATTGGGCCCTTTTGTGTGTCTGTATTACGGTACAGTCTTGCATTACATGGTCACATGCTACTTTTCCACATCGGGCAGGCCTGGAAAAGGGAGGGCTAAGTTTGGGCAACGGGTCTGAATCTGGAGTAGATGCATCAGTGCAAACCTCACTTCACACACATGCACCACCTGTGCAAGAAGGGACTAAGCCAGCTGAGACACTAGAATTCACTGGTTAATTTGATGGAAACCCCCAACTCCCAAAAACCCCTCATTTTGCAAAATTTTCCGACAGGAAAGTAACAATATTTCATTTCATTTCAGGCCTGGTCAACTCAGACAAACATTTCTGTGTTGAACAGAATCAAAGTTTTTCAAGTCTATGTAACATTAATGTATTATCCTCTTGAGCTACCATAGTGTCTCATGGGAAATGTAGTTTGGATGCCTCATGCTACCATTCTTCTCTACTGAGCGGCATCTCTGCCTGGACTACGTCTCCCAGGAGACATTGCGCCAGTCCCTCTTCTTAAACCAATGCAGGAGGGCCCCCATGAGTCATCTCCCACAGTGCCCTGGGGTCAGGTGTAGGCCAGCTGGGGATCACAGCCCCAAAGACCGAACAGCTCACAAGGCATTTGAGCAAACCGAAGCATTTCAATTTGGGACGGTGAAAACAGAAACATTTAAGTGAAACCTTTTCAAAATTCCCTTTTCTGCCAAAAATCTCCATGTTTCAATTTTCATCCTGATTGGCGACAAAACCAAAATTTGAAGTAGGATGGGGCGGACATTCCAACTTCAGCCAGCTCAGAGCCCCTTCTGAATCTAGAAACTCCACCGTCCTCGGGACCTGAGCTAGTGATGTGAAGGCTTGGACCTGCCCTGCCACCGCCTCAGACCGTGCTGGAGATACTCTGACCAAGCCTCACAAACGACGGCTAGTCTGGTCTTGGCATCACCATCTGCCCCCCCAGCCACGCCCCTGCCTGGATGGAACTGCAGTGCAATAGCCACCCATGCCACGCGATCCAGTGACAGGGCCTGCCGCACGCCCAAGGGACGTTCTATTCTGAAGAACATTCCTCGCCGAGTGACCGGTCCGGCCCGGGTGGTAAATAAGTGACTTGCCATTTGAAAGGCAGTAAAAGTTTAACGAGTAGATTGTCAGCGTTGTTCACATGTTAAACTAAGGGGGGACGGAGCGTGGCCTTTTCTTGCTTGTTCCTGGGGATGAAGAAAAATGGCCAGAAAGATGTGCTGGGACTATCAGAGGTTCCCCCTCCCCGCCATCTGCATGAATTTCACATTAGACACCAAGGTCTTGTCTGCCATGGCAGATTCCAGCGCTAGCTCGAGATTTACTAGGATTGTGATGCTGAAAGCAGCAAAGACATGAAAACTGATTAACAGAGAGGGAAAGGCTACGGAAAGCTGCTTCTTTTAACTCGTAGTAGCACCTCCAGCCCTTCAGTTAAGAACTTCCCATCCACAGCATGGTCCCAACCGAGGAGTCCTCCAGCAAAATCAAGAGATTGACATTCCTGATGTTTCTCAATAACCACCAAGATCAAACCTTTCCAACCCTCCTCTGTATGCCCTCAAAAGCCCACCAGAGAGGTGTAGAGACAGGTCATCTCGACGGGAGAATCCTGTGGCTTGGAGTCACGACGAAGTCTGCTCCTAACAAGGAACAGCCTTTCATGGCTAATGACAGCTGTGGTTTGTTTAACAGGCTCTAAGGGAAATGAGGTTTTAAGTGGTTAAATCCAAGAATCATCTACTTCCACCGCAGCCGCATGAACAAAGCGCAAAGCTGTTTCCTTGGCCAGAAGACAGTGCTAATAAATATTAACAACAAGCACCCTGCAGAGCTATGGGAAGGTTTGCATCCCTCTCTGCAGCCATTCAGCGAGAACAGGGGCGGTTTGTGTGTCCTGGTCAAAAGGTGTATGTTAAGAAGGTGCCTGGGAGCTGAATTCACCAGGTGCAGCTCAGTGCCGTGCTCGGAAGTGCCAAGGGCAATTACAGACCCTTCCGCAGATTCCAGTGGAGGCTGGATTAGACACATGACCAGTCCTCCAGTGAAGTCAGCCCCCATGGCTGGCAGCAGCACTGGGGTACGCTCCACCTGGAAAGAGGTGCAGGGCAGCCAACCTGTCATTGTAATCAGTGGGCTGGACAGCAGCAGGAACTCGCCCAATCGTCGCCCAGCTCGCTTGCCTGCTGCGCTTCCATTGGTTACAATGCTTTAAGGGAACCGCATTACATGGTCTGCAGAAGCGGTCGTGGCAGTGCCCAAAGCGGGAGGTTTTCTAGGCAGGATGGGGGCTTTCTAGGTAGGACAGCCCTCTAGATCCAATTACGCCCACCACCCACATGGTGGAAGAACAGATACAAACCAGCGCTGGTGGCAGCCTGGCTCTGACTCACCCCCCCCCCATCGCCTTCCCTCGCGCTACTGTCTCATGCAGGCCGTGACCACGGTGGGGTTACGCCACTGAACGGGAGGAAGTTCCCGCTAGATTGGTGGCGCTCCAGTGGGGCCTGCGCACGTCTTGCACATGGCCATGGACTCCCTCCCAGCAAGGAGCCTGCACTGGTGCTTCAGACCCGCAGCCCCTCCGCCCCCCAAGGTCAGAGCACCAGTGCCAGCTTCCTGCTGCGAGGGGGCAGACCCGCCACGGTGGGGTTACGCCACTGAACGGGAGGAAGTTCCCGCTAGATTGGTGGCGCTCCAGTGGGGCCTGCGCACGTCTTGCACATGGCCATGGACTCCCTCCCAGCAAGGAGCCTGCACTGGTGCTTCAGACCCGCAGCCCCTCCGCCCCCCAAGGTCAGAGCACCAGTGCCAGCTTCCTGCTGCGAGGGGGCAGACCCGGCTTGCGGAGGCAGGAAATGGCTCCGCAGGAAACTGCTTGCCCAGCGGCTTTAATGGCACAGCAGGAAACTGCTTGCCCAGCGGCTTTCCCCGCTGCTCCCACTGGCCAGAACCCTGCTGTTTATAAACGGGAAAACGGACGATTTCAGTCGTTCACTGTTTGACAAACAGCATGTGACCGTGTAATTAAAGGCCAGTCTAGTAATGCCGAGTTAAGGCTGCGTGTACACCAGCCGTGTGGCAACTTCCCGCGCTCAGCCGCAAAGGGCTGTCTTAGTGCGTTTTGCTGCATGGACTTTTGAGTGATCGGAGGGGGGAGTCCCTGCTGGAAGGGCCTGGGAAGAAGGGGCTCGGGGGAGGGGTCCGACCGGTGACAGGGAGGCCACGCAGCAAACAGGCTGGGAAGCTCTAAACGAACTTTCATCCCAGCTGTAGGCACCATTTCCTGCTGGTCATTTCCTGCCTGGTAGGGTTCGGGGTAGAGCCCTACCCCTCTACTGCTACCCCCAGCTCAGTTTTTGCAGAAATGAATGTGGAGACACATTTTGTATCCAGAACCCTCCAGTCTGCAGCTGTCCACGGGTCCACGCAGATGTTAGAGCTGGTCCGCCACTTGCTTTTGGGGATACAGATGTTGTATCCAGGCAGGGCTCTAGACACGTGCAGCGTGGCATACATGAATGCACATGAGTGAGCCAGCAGGGGGCGCAAAGCAGCCCTGCCAGCCCAGCTGACATCCACGGAGCTGCACGTGGCTCTAGCCAGGTGGATCTGATGACATGGTGAGGGCGGGATTCCACTTTGCCCTTCGCTATGCTCCTGGAGTGGACAGCGGGCAGGTCAGGACGTGGGCAGGGACCGTGGCTTCAGCCCCTCCGGCCCCTGCACCAGATCCAGCCTGGCTTTCTAGCTATGGGGTCTTAGTGCCACAGGCTGCTCTGATCTCCCCCCCCTTCTCCCACCGGGCTGGGAAACGCAACCCTTCCTACTGCAGGCAGGGGCCTGGGTGGGCCAGGGGCTGTCCTAGTGCCCCTCCAATACCCCTGCCTTGGCTACTGCACGTCCGAGGGCTGGAGGCCTCCTTATCAGCAGGCCCACCGCCGGGTGCAATTCCTTAGTGTCAGGCTGTGCTATCTGGGAAAGAACAGGCCGGGGGGGGGGGACCCGGAGCCTGTAGTGGCTCATCTGAACCAGGCCACAAACAGTATTTGTTCCTCCCACACACACACACTGGAGGGACCAAAA